GGTGGGGTTTTTAAAAGAACATAGAAGAGGTAAGCATCTAGCTCGCTTTGACAAAGGTGATTGGGTGCCTAAATCCTTTTGGTCCCTTAAAAAAGTACAGTGGATAGAATCAAGGAATTTTAAATTTGTTCATGCATAGGGAAGTTCTTGGCCTGTGTTTAAAGCTCCCAATTCAGTGAGCAGACTGACCTGAGTACTTTAGACAGGAACGTGGGAATATTGCATTTTTTCTCATTATTAAATAGAATTTACATTGGTTCCTTTTTAATTATTATGCTAATAGATCTAATCATTTAGAACAGCAGCAAAACAGAAATTTCACTTGGTATCAGACATTCTTTTCTCCATTAATTTCCTTTCCAATGAGACTTTTTGGTCAACTGTTCTCTCATCTCTGTGATTTTCCATTCAGAATCAATTATTTCCTTGGAGATTAGTCATTATCCTGTTGATTTTCCTTTCTTTTATTCATCTTTCCTCATCTCTGGGTAATAATCTGACATTCCCAGATGCAGAAATATCCAGGGAGATTCTATCAACTCTTATGAAGAAGACAATCATCTCCATGAAAGAGAACATCAAGCAGAAGTAGCGGGTGGCTCCTTTGGATCAAGACATTGAGGTAGGATGCAAAGTTCTGTTCCCTGAGATAACTGAACCCCGTTAATCATAGAAGGGAATGGAAAACGAGAGGCAAAAATTCAAATTTATCTCCAGAAATCTCAAGCAAAAGTTAGTGTCAGGGTCCAGCAGTAAATAGCTCATTACAGGGCAAGGTAAAGAAGCAGAGTTAGAATGAAATAATCTGGTATAGAACAGAAACAAGCCCTGCTTTGGCCCACCATGATACGAAGGATAAAACTGCTTGACCAATCCGGGGGAGAAAGTTCTTAAAAGTAGATGGGTTAGAGCAAAACATGCCTAAGAAAGAGTAATGAACGGATCTCAGATTTAGAATGTAAGTATTTAATGGACGGTATTGTCTTGCAATTGTGGCCAAAGTCAAGTGCCCCAGAGGGAGTGAACAGAACAGGGAATCATCCAGTGATACCTCTTCTGTTTCCCATTCACAGCTTCTGACAGAGGCTACGGACACCTTCCCTACCCGTCCTGGGTAATAGCCATTGATGGACCTAACCTCCATGAATCTATTTGTTCCTCGTGTGCGTATTTTATTTTTCACCAAGTGAGTTTTATTCTTCGCAAAAAATGTGAATCGCATACATGGTCCTTCTTCTGTGTGTGTGGGTGTTTGTGTATGTGCACGTGTGCGTTTACACATTATCAATTTACCACTGATACTCCCCGTGTAGATAAAGTTTACATGGGCACATCGTAAGTCAGCAGATGAAGACATCAGAAGGTAGGACATACCCAGAAATATGGAGGGAAAAAATAATGGAAGAAATTTCAGACTCTGATAGCTTTGCTTTCAATAAGAGCTAAGATCTGCTATTCTGTCTAAACATATCTATCTATATTTTTTTGCTCATAATATTATGCGTATGTCTAGACTGCAGAGTCATCCTGGAAAAGCTCTGCCATGTCTAAGGAATGTATCCACTTTTCAAAAAAAAAAATGTCAGGAAAGCAGGCACATTTTGTCAGTATCCTTGTAAACTTCATTTTACAAGGGAGAAGGGATGTTCCGAAAGAGGATTTTTTCTAAAATTTGGCCCTGTGTAGATGGGCCAAATTTTGAAAAGGCCTCTTTCAGAAGTAAATTGGAAAACAATGCACAAACAATAAGCAGTGAGGTGGCAATGTATGAGTACGATATTAAACTGTTCAAGATAGTCAAGACCAAAGCAGACTGAAGAGCTTCAAAAAGATCTCACCAAACGGAGTGATTGGGCAACAAAATGGAAATTAACAACAAAATGGCAAATGAAATTTAATGTAGATCAGTATAAGGTAATGCATATTGGAAAAAATAAACCAAACTATACATCCAATATGATGGGAGCTAATTTATCTACAACTAATCAGGAAAGAGATCTTGGAGTTATCGTGGACAGTTCTCTGAAAACATCCATGCAGTGTGCAGCAGCAGTCAAAAAAGCAAATAGAATGCTAGGAATTATTAAAAAAGGGATAGAAAATAAGATGAAGAATATCTTACTGCCAGTACATAAAACTAGAGTACACCCACCTCTTGAATACTGAGTACAGATATGGTCTCCTCACCTCAAAGAAAATATTTTGCCATTGGAAAAGGTTCAGAAAAGAGCAACTAAAACGATTAGAGGTTTGGAATGGGTCCCATATGAGGAGAGGCTAGAGAGACTGGGACTTTTCAGTTTAGAAAAGAGGAAACTGTGGGTGGATATGATAGAGGTATAAAAATCATGAATGGTGTGGAGAAGATGAATAAAGAAAAGTTATTTACTTGTTCCCATAATATAAGAACTAGAGGACACCAAATTAAATGAATGGGTAGCAAGTTTAAAACTAATAAAAGAAAGTTCTTCTTCACACAGCACGTAGTCAACCTATGGAACTCCTTGACAGAGGAGGCTGTGAAGGCTGGGAATATCAGGGTATGTCTACACTAGCCCCCTAGTTTGAACTACAGAGGCTAATGTAGGCATTCAAAGTTGCAAATGAAGCCCAGGATTAAAATATTCCATGAGGTGTAACAATTAATTCGAACTAAGGACTTAGTACGAATTAATTGTGAGATAATGTAGAGATCTGCTAAACTTCTGTCATGCATGACATTGGTTAAGTTATAGAAAAAGCTCTATGTATTACCTATCAGTATGGAGATAAGCAAGTGTCAAACGCAAATCATATTTAACAAATACTCAGCTAGGGTATGTCTACACTAGCCTGCAATGAGGAGTAACGGTAGTCCGAATTAGGGCTTTAGTTTGAATTGCCTAGCCCGTGCCGCGTGTAGCCATGGGCAGAGAGTCCCAACTACCGGCCATTTAAAATGGAGCCCGGACGAGAAGATGCAGATAAAGCCTGGGATATTTTAATCCCGGGCTTTCATTTGCAACTTCGAATGCCTACATTACCCCGCTAGTTCGAACTAGGGGGCTAGTGTAGACATACCCTAACAGAGTTTAAAAAAGAACTAGATAAATTAATGGAGGTTAGGTCAATTAAAGGCTATTAGCCGGGGGGAAGGAAACATGCCCCTGGCCTCTGTTTGTCAAAGGCTGGAGAAGGATGGCAGGAGACAAATTGCTTGATCATTGTCTTCAGTCCATCCCCTCTGGGGCACCTGGCACTGGCCACTGTAAACATATTGAGCTAGACGTCTGACCCCGTATGGTCTGACCCCATATGGCTGTTCTTATGTTCTTAATTTACATACTGCAAATTTCATTTCTTTTTGTGATTTGTCTTTGTAGTCTAAACATAACCTGACTCTGCATGGTCATTCTTATGTTCTTAACAGGAATGTCAAATCTACATCGTTAACTTCCTCTTGGACTTTCATTTAAGATTTTTATGCTGAGAATCTGAAATACCTTCATCATATCAGTGTTATCTGAGGCGTAAGGATCTTGTGCAAAAAGGGGTTTTTGTGCAGAAAGGAAATGTCCACACTACTTGTTTTTGAGCAAAACATTCTTGCCCAAAAATGGATAGGGAGAGATGATGCAAATGAAGTATGAAAAAATGCTAATCCACTCCTCATTTGCATTGCCTCTTCCGGAAAAAACAGTAGTGTAGACGTAGTGTCAGACCATAGGTCCATCTGCAGACAGCTGTTTGTCCGCTCAGCATGGCAGCCATTTAAATTTAAATCACCACTTCATTTCCCTATGCCCAGTAAACAAATCTACACGGCTGCATTGACGGAGCCATGTAGTCTAAACACGATCTTAGTGACCCCTAGTTCTTATGTTATGGGAACAAGTACATAATTTTCCTTATTCACTTTCTCCACACCAGTCATGATTTTGTAGACCTCTATCATATCCCCCCTTAGTTACCTATTTTCTAAATCAAAAAGCCCCAGTCTTTTTTATCTCCTTTCATATGGCACCCGTTACAACCCCTTAATCGTTTTTATTGCCCTTTTCTGTACCTTTTCCAATGCCAAGTGATCTTTCTGAGATGAGGCAACCACATACAGTATTCAAAACGTGTCTCACGTTATACAAAGGCAATAAGACTGCTGCTGCACATGGAGTGGATGTTGTCAGGAAACTATCCACAGTGACTCCATGATCTCCCAAGTAGTTTTAGCTAAGTTAGCCCCATCATTTTGTATGTACAGTTGGGATTGATTTTTTCCAATGTGCATAAAATTCATTTGCCATTGTGTTGCCCAATTTCGTGAGATCCTTTTGAAGTTCTTCACAGTCTGCTTTGGGCTTAATTACCTTCAGCAGTTTGGTATCATCTGCAAATTTTCACCTCACTGTTTACTCCTTTCTCCAGATCATTTATAAATAGGTTGAGTAGGTCTGTTCCAAGAATGGACCCTTGGGGAACACTGCTAGTTACTTCTCTCCATTCTGAAAACTGACCATTTCTTTCTACCCTTAGTTTCCTGTCTTTTGACCAGTTCTCAGTCCAGGAGAGGACCTTCCCTCTGACTCCATAATAACTTACTTTGATTAAGACATGTTGGTGGGGGATTTTGTCAAAAGCTTTCTAGAAATATAAGTGTATTATATCCACTGGATCCCCCTTGTTCACATGCTTGTTGATCCCCTTAGAAACCTCTAGGAGATTAGCAAGGCAGGATTTCCCTTTACAGAAACCATTTTGACATTTCCCAACAGATTATGTTCATGTATGTGTCTGACAATTCTACCCTTTATATTTTATTCGGTTATTCGGTAGGGCCCTACTCTTGGGTCACGTACAATGGCAGCTCAAACTATCAGTCATATCAATCTTCCCATGATTATTGACAATGTTGTTTTTTTTCCAGAGGAGGATACACTGGTGTGAGGTTACTTTCTCCAGGCTTCCACATGCCTAACTGATCGCACAACACGTGCACTGCATCAATATACTTCAAGATACGTGTTATGGAGAAAGCAGAAGGAAGAAATCAAACGATCATCGTGGAATTCATCCTCTTAGGGTTTGGGGGCAGCCCTGAACTGCAGCCCCTCCTCTTCCTGGTGTTTCTAGTGATCTACCTTATGACGGTAGCCTGGAACCTTCTCATCGTTGCCCTAGTTGTGACTGATCATCACCTTCACACGCCCATGTACTATTTCCTGGGCAACTTGGCCTGCTTGGAGATCTGCTACACCTCGGCCATCCTGCCCCGGCTGCTGGCCAGTCTGCTGACTGGGGACAGAGCCATCTCTGTGAAGGGCTGCATTGTGCAGTTATATTTCTTTTCGGTCATGGCTGCAACCGAAGGCCAGCTGCTCCTGGCCATGTCTTACGATCGGTATTTAGCCATCTGCCATCCCCTCCGTTACACTGCCCTGATGAACGGCCGGGTGTGTTGCCTGATAGTGGTCGGGTGCTGGATAAATAGCTTCCTGACTTGTTTCATAGCAAATGTTTTCCTGTTCCAATTCACGTTCTGTGATTCCAGTGATATTGACCATTTCTTCTGTGATTTCTCACCAATGTTAAAGCTCTCCTGTAGCGACACCCAAGCTCTGCAACAGTTGACATTTATTTTCTCTGCCCTCGGGACGCTTATGCCCTGTCTACTGACCCTGGCATCCTACATTCGTATCATCTCCACCATCCTGAAAATCCCTTCCAGCACCGGGAGGCAAAAGGCCTTTTCCACCTGCTCCTCCCACCTCATTGTAATTACATTTTCCTATGGTGCTGCGATCGCTGTCTATGTAGTTCCTACAGCCAACACTCCAAAGGTCCTACACAAACTATTCTCTCTCTCTCACACGGTCCTGGCTCCCTTGATCAACCCTGTTATCTACAGCCTGAGAAACAAGGAAGTCAATGAGGCCCTGAAGAAAACTCTTAATAAAATGGCTGCCTCCAGAAAGAACCATAGTAGGTGAAAGGACAAATATTAGTATATAGGAAAATGGAGATCAATGGATACTCTCTCTTACGCTTGCCTCATTTGAATCATTGAGAAAAGTGTCACCACTTACTGATGTTCTTTCTTTCTACTCTTAAGCTACAGAAAAAGACAAAGATACTGAAAGGACAGGTAAAGGCATGGCCTATTTGTGTCCTTGAGAACTTGGATGCCACTTCCTTCCTTCGTTCAAACTGCTCTTTCATACATTTCTTTATAAAAAACTTGGTGCCATAAGAGACATTCTTTATGAAAAGGAGATTTTTTTTTCAAGATATACATTTCAGGAAAGCCCTGTGCTTCACATGTACGTGCATGAACTTTTAGGCCCAAATTTCTGCAAGCTGCTTAACATCTTTTCTATTGTTCTGGGTCTTTCCCACCCCATCTGAAGCACATGACATCCATTCTCCAGTGATTAGGACTTTCTCTTCTGAGGTAGGTCTCTCCAAAATAGGTGAGAAATTTTGCAGCCAAAATGAATGGAGAACTTGGACTATTTATTATTCCCTGTAAAGCTGTAGCTAGGGAACAGAGAGAGAGTGAGAGAGAGAGAGAGGGAGGAAGAGAGAGAGGACGAATGGGATGTCTCAATCCTGGTCTACACTAGGGAGTTATTCTGAAATAACAAGTGGAGCATCCACACCACCAAGCCCATTATTACAAAATGAGGGGCTCGTTATTTTGAAATAATAACTCCTGCTTTCCACAAGGCATAGTGCTCGTTTCGAAACAGTTATTTCAAAGTAGCAGTAGTAGCTATTCCCTGGTGTCTTTCAGGGTGTGGCTATACTGCATGCTTATTTTGGAACAAGCTATTCTGGAAATAGCTTATTTTGAAATATTACTTCTACACTACAGAGAAACCTCAAAATTATTCTGAGGCAAGCTCCACTAATGTGGCTGTGCTACCTCGATTTAGATCCCCAGGAATCACTGAGGAGTAATTACTTTGAGTGGCCCGGGGGAGGCGCTATTTCAAAATAGCAGTATTGGAGGATCCACACTCCCGCTATTTCAGAATAGCTATTTCAGGAGAGGTGATATTCCTCACAGAATGAGGTTTACAGAAGTCAGAATAATCTCCTTGTTAGTCAGCATTTATTTTAAAATAACAGAATTGCTGTGGAGATGCTCACATTGTTATTTCGGAATAACAGCCGTTAGTCCAAAATGACGCTTCTGTGTCGATGAATCCTCAGAGTAATTACAATCCAGTGCATCATGGGGCTTTAAGCACATCCAAGTTAAGGGTGCCTACCTCAGACTAATTTCGATGGGTCACTGAAGTGTAGATGTGTTGTTTTGAAACAGTTGTTTTGGGTGTTATTTTGAATTAAGGTTTTTTAAAATAATTTCTTCATGTAGTCATGCCCTCAGACTCCTGCCATGTAAAATTACCTGCCCATTCACACATCTTTTTAGGGCACAGAGAATGTTAAAATATCTATATCTTTTTCAATATCGATATTATGATAGCTATATAGAAGCTCAAGAGAAGATGTATGGTCAACATACTCTAAGCTGATGAAACCTGATTTCCCTCACAGACCCAAACAAAAAGCAAAGAATGAATTCCAATGAATAGGAGCTAAACACCCCAGATTACTATGTGACCATGCCAATCACAGCCTAGACAGTGTCTCATGGACAAAATATTTTACCACTCAAGTGTAAAAAAAATGCAAAGTAAGGAATAAAAACTCACTGAATCTTTCTGTTATTATTGTTCTTCCTTCACACTTTTAACTTCAGTTTTTACCAAAATTATTGTCATTCCCCTGCTCCCCTCTTACAGCTTAGGGGCAGATTGCTCCCCTGACCACTGCTGAAGGCCTGATGCAAGGCCAGATGGGCTGTGTAGATGGAGGAATGTCTAGTTTGTCATCTCGTGGATCAGGGGGTGTTTGGACGAAAAGTGAATTTCACCAGCCTAACATGATCCATGAATTTAACTCAAATCAGCAAAATATTCTCCGTAAAAATCTACCATCATGTTTCTATTGTTTCTCTTGGTGGGTTAAGCACGCAGGCATGGAGGAAGGGTTGGTTGCAAGACCCATGTTCAATATCCACCCTGAATGATAGAATTTTGGAATAATAGATTCCTTGGGCGGGCAGAGACCTCAGAAGTCTTCAAATCCAACCCCCTGCCCAAAGCAGGACCAACCACCCACCACTGACAGGGCCCATGGCTGGCACCCGGTGGAGAGGGAGGGCGCAGGTCCCCCATCCTCAACCTCCCTTGCTCCCCAGAGGGGGAAGCCAATCTAGTACACTATAGACTTGGCCACTGGGCCATATTTAACCCCACAACTGTAGTGTGCTATAGACTCAGCTACTGGGCCATAGTTAGCCC